GGTGTCTCAGCAGGTGGCCAAGAGTGCCCCCCTTGGGCCCCTGCTCCCTCACTTGAAGAACAGGGAGAAGCTTTGCTGTCCAGATCCCAGGGCTGCTGGGTGAGGGCACTCTGGGCAGGCAGTGGCTCTCAGGGGGCTTTGGGGGCGTCACACTCAGGAGGGCTGGGGTCCCAGCTACAGGAAGGTGACAGACACCAGCACCCTGCTGCCGCAGGCATGGACAGAAGGGGGCAGCAGGCAGGGCTGAGGACAAGGGCCCAGCCTGCTCACCGGCCCACACGTGAGGGCACGCGGGCAGAGGCTGCATGGGCACACGTGCACACTGCTGCACACGTGCATGGGCACACACACTAGGGTGCACACAGGCACCAGTGCAGGCCAACACGTGCACATGCACAGGCACACGCGGGAGCCGCCGTCCAGCCGACGCGGGGGTCTCGTGTGCCTGCTGCTCTTGCTGTCACCAAGCCGCTCCATCCTGCTTGTGTCCTGCCACCCTCAGCATGGAAGGAAGGTGCTTCCCAGAATTCCTGCCCAGAAGCACACTGCTTTCAGACCATCCTGGTGTCCCCTCCCCACAGTCCTCCCCCGGTTAGTGGTGGAGCCTGCTGTACTCGAGGCCCGGGAGCGCACAGGCCTTCCCGAGGGCCCACGTGCTTCCACCTGCAGGGACCCACGTATGTGCACATGTGGGTTTGCCCGAGTGTATCGTGCGCATGTATGTCAGGGGGCATGGTAATGTGGACGCTCTTTTTATTTTCTTTCTTTCTTTCTTTCTTTCTTTCTTTCTTTCTTTCTTTCTTTCTTGATGGAACCAGGAATTGGACTCAAGCCCTTGAGCTTGCCAGGGAGGACGCTTTTTTTAAGAAGTGTACAAGTTGCCCAGGAGATAGCTCAGCAGCATAAGCACCTGCCTGGCATATGCAAGATCCCGAGTTTGATCCCTGGTACAGCAGAAAGGAAGAAGAAGAAGAAGAAGAAGAAGAGGAAGAGGAAGAGGAAGAGGAAGAGGAAGAGGAAGAGGAAGAGGAAGAGGAAGAGGAAGAGGAAGAAGAAGAAGAAGAAGAAGAAGAAGAAGAAGAAGAAGAAGAAGAAGAAGGACACAGATGCAAAAAGTACACAAGTAAACTAGGTATGGTGGCACACACCTGTAATCCCAGCTACTTGACAGGCTGAGGCAAGATCAAAAGTTTAAGGCTAGTCTGGGCAACCAAGCCAGACCCTATCTCAAAGTTAAAACAAAACTATAAGAAAAGCTAACCAAATCCAGGCCTCACATTTGGGGTCCCACGCACCTCTCTGAGTGTGTGAGGCAGGCCTACTGGCCAGCTGTTCACTGTCACTCCATGGCATAGGTGGGGTCTCAGAGGCCCACTTCTGTGTCAAGTGCAGGGCCCGGCCTGTCCCCTGCTCAGCCTGTGCCCAGGCTTCTGTCCACCAGGGGAAGGAAGCTGGGGTGGACAGAAGACACACAGTGTAGACCTGGCCCTGGGGTAGGGAGGAGGCAGGGCCACACTGGGCCATAGCACAGAAGACAGGGCAGGGTGGAGGTGTCCGGGATGTCCCTGAGCCCACAGAGCACCCTGGCTGCAGCAGGGCTTCACAGCCAGGAGGTCCCACCCTCCACCCTGCACCATCCGGGGCTTCCCTGATGACAACGGGCAGCTGCATGTCAGCCTCCACACCGACTGACCTTGGTCCCCACATCTACCTGTCCATCAGGTCACCTGCCACCCGAGCTCCAAGTGAAGTCTGAGTCTGGAGCTACGAGCAAAGTGCAGAGTGAGGGCCAAGCTGTGTTGTGCTGGTGCATCAGCTGCCACTTGGCCTCCGAGGCCCTCGTGCTCTGGGCTGGCTGTGAGGACAGGCGCTGCCCTCATAGGCTGGGCTCAGGAGCCACACCAGATGAGTGGGGGCCGGGACTCCTTCCCCACCTGCTGAGCAGTGTGGCTTCTGGCCACCCTGGGAGGGCCTTCCACCCCTGGGCCTGAGCAAGGACTCCCAACGATTGAGAAGGCATCTCCAGAGAGAAGTCCTTGTCCTTCCACAGAGGAAGAATATACACAACATGAAATTTAGCCACCTTGTCTCCTCTAAGCATGGCTCTGCAGGTCAGGTGCACCCGTGACCTCGTCCCTCCCATCTCCCAAGCCTCGCTATCCCCTTTAAATGCTGACTCCTCCCCAGCCCAGCTGCTGACAGCCTGGCCTCCTCTTCTTGCTGTGAACGTAACAATTCTAAGCCCCTCTGTGAGCAGAGGGTTTGTCCCATGCGCTGTGCCTGGTCACAGAGCACCCTAACCCCAAGGCCTACCCTGGGCACAGCAGGTGCCAGCCTCCTCCTCCTCGAGGCCAGGTGAGGGCACTAGATGGAGTGACCAGGCTTTCGCCAGCCTCCTTCTTGCTGGACACGTGGGCCGCTGCCACTTCTTGGGGAGTGAGTGATACTGCTGAGGTGCCTCGCAGGGGAGGTCCTGTCTTTGTCCTTTGGGGTGCAGACTTAGAAGGGGATTTCTGGAGCACACGGTAGTTCTACCCCTCAATTTCTTGAGGAACCAACACGCTGCTGACCATAGGGCTGCGCAGCATGCTGCTGCAGTTGCTGAGAAGTCCTCTCAGGGTGCTGGGGGTGACCCTTGTGGCCCCCATACACACTGCACTTTGCTCTGCAGCCACCCAGGGCCAGAGAGGCGGCCTTCGAATGCAGGTAACGCGGAATGGCCTGCTCCAGGCTCCTGAGTGCTGGCATCGCTGCGTCACATGAGAGCCCCCACATTTGGCAGAGAGAGCACTTGGGTGACTCAGACAGCCATACCCTCCGGGGGCACGCATGGCCTGACCCAGCCTTCCCGGACAGGGGACTCTGGGAGATGCAGGCAGGACAAATGCCCTCCCTCCTTGAGCCCAGCTGGGGCCAGAACCCCAGTCACCCCAAGCTGCTGGCAGCCAGGACAGAGGGCCCCGCCCCCCCACTCCACAGCGCGGCAAAAACGCCCCCCTTCTGCGCGGATGGTGTGAGCCAGGAGCCCAGCGAGTTTCCCACACTTTGGCCCCATTCACAGTGTTAAACGGCCCACAAAGGCCAGGCGTGTGCCTCGGAGGCCGCCTGAGCTGCCATCTGGCCCGCGCTCGCGAGGGAACCAGCCTTTCATCCGGCCGGGACTCCACACCATTCATTTCATATTTCCCACAACCGAAAATTGGATCAAAGCTGCTCCAGCCCAGGGAGGGGAGGGCCCGGGACCCCCCACGGCCCACCCACCACCCTGGCCTCCCAAGGCTGCCGTCCTGGCCCACTGCGGGTGGGCAGGCAGCTGGGGCGTGGGGGCTGGACGGCATCTCCCGGCACGCGTCTCATTTGGGCCAAGGGATTGGCTTGGGGGAGGGGCCGGGCAGGAGGGAGCCCAGCTGACTGCCCCCTGCAAAGCCTGGGATGCGGGGCTGACCCGCACCCCCCCACATCCGGCACAGCCCCGGGTCCCTGCCAGCAGCCTGGTGGTGGCCGCGCAAGCGTGGGCTCTGAGCCCATGTCCAGCTGTGGGTGCCGTGGCCAGGCCTCTGGTTTGGCCCATTCCCTCCACTCTTGGCTAAGCACCTCCTTGGTGTGCAAGGCTTGGGCAGCAGGTGCAGGTGGCCAGAGCACCCTGTCCTCCCCACCTGAGCTCAGCCCCAGGACCCCAAATGCAGTTGTCCACAGCGTGGCTATCAAAACTGGGCCTCTTAAATATCTCAGGGTTGTACTCTTCAGGTCCTCTGGCAGCCCGCAGGACCCGCCTGGCGCCAGCTGCCGCAGCGCACAGCGCTCGGGATGCTGTGCTGTGGGCGCGGGCCCAGATGCTCTCTCCCGGACTCACCAGCACCTCCGGGCTGCTGCTGCCAACAAGGCCCGAGGGCTGTGGTGAGGTGCCCCTGCCCAGAGGAGTTCCCGTCTCAGAGTGAGGGGTAGCCAGGAGGCTTCCTTCCTGTGATCAGCCGGCTAGAGGGAGGGCCATCCTGGACCAGGGGACCACCAACAGCCCCATGCTGAGGGGCTCCTGAGCCAGGCCCCCAAAAGGCCACTCAGCATGCAGCACTGCTGCCACGGAGCACAGTCCTGGTGGGACACACTTGGCATGGCTGCCATCCTCCCAGAGGGCCCTGGTGACCTGGTGCCAGCCACCGGTGCCCAGGGCTGGGCCCCAACAACCCTAGGGTCAGCCCAGCCCTGCAGGACACCCGGGCTTCTCCTGCCTTTGGAGGATGAAAGCATGGGTGCTCTGGCCTCCCCCTCCCAGGCTGCCCAAGCCACTGCTGGCCCCCAGCACAGCTGACCAGGTACAAGGGTTTCAGCTCACCCCGCGGGGCCTTTGCTAGGGGCCATCCAGCTGGCACACGTCAGGGGCAGAGCTCAGCCTGTTACCTGGTGCCCCCTTGGACCACTGGCAACACACTGAGGATAGCATTCTACAGGTGCCCAGGTTACACTGAGGGCCACGCGTGGCCACAGCTGCCCCCAAGCCACACAGGACAGTGACCACAGGGAGCAGGCCAGTTCCTCCTGCCCTGGGGACGCTGTCTGTGGCTGAGCCCCGGGAAGGAGTGTGGGATGATCCCTGGGCGTGTCCACTGGTCCCCGAGCAGCCCTGATGTCACTACCTGAGTTTGGGGGTTCCTGGAGCTGCGGAGATGCCAGGCCCCGGACTGGGCACCTCATGTTACCCAGCTCCCTGGAGCTGTCCAGGCCAGCTGGGGAGGTCAGAGTGCCAGGTTACCGGCCGCAGCCAAGAGCCTAGCCCCTTCCTGGCCTTCCACCTGTGGTCAGGATGACGCAGCACCATTCTGCCAAAGCGTGGCCACCTCTGTTCCTCTGCCCCTGGGGCAGAAGGTCTGGGTCAGCGAGGGTGTGGGCTCCCAGCCCCTGGCAGCCACTGGGCTTTTTCCATCCAAGAATCCAAAGCTCACCCTTATCTGCACCAGCACACGGCCCCTGCCAGCAGCCGCGGGGAGTCGCAGGGAGGGGTGGCGGGGGCTCCTTCCTGCCCCCCACCCGTGGCCTGGGAAAAGGCAGCATATTGAGGCGCGGGGCTCCCAGCACCAGGCCCCGGGATGCTAATGAGGGCGAGCGCGTTCCCACAGCCCGGACATTGTGCGGCGCGGCCCACCTGCTCCTCAGGGAGCGCCCATTGTGCCCGCGCCAATTCATAGGCAATTTAGCGTGCGCTAATGGGCCGGCGCCTTTGTGCGGCCCGCGCTGCCATTGGCCGCTGAGTGTGGGAACGGCCGCGGCGCCCGGACCCCAGGCGCCAGCCCGCCGCCAGCGCCTATATAGGGGCTGCGCGCCGCGCCGCGCCACCCGGACGTTCGCCCCACGCTCGCCCACGCAGCATGGCCCCCAGCACCGTGGCGGTGGAGCTGCTCAGCCCCAAGGAAAAGAACCGAGTAAGTGTGCAGTGCACCCAAGTCCCCGCGGATCAGGCTCCGGCCCCGGCCGGGCGCTGACCCCCCTCCTCCCGCAGCTGCGCAAGCCGGTGGTGGAGAAGATGCGCCGCGACCGCATCAACAGCAGCATCGAGCAGCTGAAGCTGCTGCTGGAGCAGGAGTTCGCACGGCACCAGCCCAACTCCAAGCTGGAGAAGGCGGACATCCTGGAGATGGCCGTGAGCTACCTGAAGCACAGCAAGGGTAGGCCCCGCCCCGCCCCGCCCCGCCCCCAGGCGCACCCCGCCGCGCTCCGCAGCCCTGCTCACCCGCCCGCTCACCCCGCAGCCTTTGCCGCAGCCGCCGGCCCCAAGAGCCTGCACCGGGACTACACTGAGGGCTACTCCTGGTGCCTGCAGGAAGCCGTGCAGTTCCTGACCCTGCACGCCGCCAGTGACACCCAGATGAAGCTGCTCTGCCACTTCCAGCGGCCCCCCGCCGCCCCCGCTGCGCCTGCCAAGGAGCCCCCCATGCCCAGCGCCGTGCCCCTGCCCGCGCGCCCCTCCGCCAAAGTCTCCCCTGCCGCACGCCCTTCAGCCTGTGGCCTCTGGCGGCCCTGGTGACTGTCCCAGTGCCCACCGCCGCCTGGCAGGTTGGATGCGCCCTTCTCCGGAAGCCCATCTGAGGCCGCGGGCCGGCCTGAGGGTCATTCTCGAGAATGCACCACCTGCAGAGTCGTGTTGTTTGAGGACAATCAGGGCCATCTCCTGCCCAGCGTCTGACCCCGTGGGGTTGTTCTGTGTTTGCATTTCAGCAAGTGACTTCTGGGAAGTCCCCGGGCTGCGGGGGTTCTATGATATTTGTAGGGCCAGGGGCTGGGCCTGCCAGCACCCTAGCCTGTAGAGGACTTTCTTCAGGGCCCATCGCTGCTGGGCACGCACCCGCAGGCGGGCGGGCGTGCCGTGGGCACATTGCCTTTTGTGAAGGCGGAACTCCAGATGTATCCTCATAGGAAGGTACTCAGCCTGCGTACCTGGCCCAGAGGCCCACGTGGGCTACTCGGGGAGGGCGGGGCCTCCACTACGATCCTTAAAGGATTCCTTGACATGGGTGGGTGCACGTGGGCACGCTGTGTACTTAGAATTTGAGCGCTCTGTCACGTGGGTGCCCATGAACTGCGAAGGCTTCTAATAAAATCCGACTGTCAACCCCTCTGCCGTCTGTGCCTCCCATCTGTCCTGGGCAGCCACGGACTGGCTTGGCAAGAGTGGCCGGGAGTGGGCACCACATGGTGTGCAGCCGTGGGTGCTTGCCAGTGGCCCTCCAACTGGGAAAAAGATCTGGGTCCCATGGGGGACATGAGGAAGGAGGGGCAAAGCAGGAAGAGAGGCAGCAGGCAGCATAACTTCTACACACCCAGGTCTCTGCCCCCAGCTTTTCACCAGTTCCCTATGGGTGTGTGACAGTGGGGCAGCTTCAGGACCTTGGGCTCTATCTCCCAGGAGAACGCAGGAAGGGGCTTAGCCAAGGCAAACAAACAGGAAAACTACCGCCCAGCCCTGCTCCTGCCCCTGGCCTACAGCACCTGTCCCAAGAGGTGGTCCCAGGGCACTTGTTTGGCTGGTCCACAGGGCTCAGAGGCAGGCCGGCTGCAGAATCAGGAAACGCTGGCTATGAACCTGACCTGCCAGGGGCCAGCTCCTGCCTGGGAAAGGGCACCTATTTTTAGTCAGGCTGCAGCATAGGGTTGAGTGCGCAGAGCCTAGAGCCACAGCTTCCAGGTGCCTGCTGGGGGGGGCGGGGCGCAGAGCGGGAAGGGGCTGGGTGCACTGAGTGTGTCCTGACCGAGTCAGGCAGGGCCACACCCCACCACCAGGCACTTTCCCCTCTTGCCGCCTTCGAGTTCTGTCCCTTTCTGTCTTCCATGAAGGAAGTGTGCATGTAGGCATCCCTCTGGTCAGTCCACAGCAGCGGTGTCCAATGACAGGCACGTCCTGAACATGGCCAGCGCAGCCACTCCTCCTTGGGAGCAGGCCTGCCTCCCCAGCGCAGGCTGCCTGTGCCCAAGGCACGAACAAGGCTGATTCTTCCAGCAGTCCTGTCTGACACTCTTGAGCTCCTGCCACCTGCCACAACCAGGGATACATTCCTCAGCCCTCAGACAGAGGCTGAAGGCCAGAAGCAAGCCCTCCACCCAGGTGCTGAAGCCTGCTCAGCGTGCGCTCTGTCTGGTTCCAACACCAGGCTCTTCTCCCAAAGTCCCGGGACTCCCAGGGCTCACCCTGGAGCCCTGCCACCCCCTGCCCCAGCCTTCCAGAACTGTGTGTGGACAGAAAGTGGCCTCCAGGCGTCTGTCCCCACTTTCCACTGCACTCCTCCAGTTGCCAGGAAGGCACACACCATCCCCGTTGGGCAGGGTCCTAAACTCGTCCAGTGTGAGGGGGACTTTTGGCGCGGAAGGTCCCCCGCCCAACCAGCCCACCTCACCCCCGGGGAGCCGGCTGGTGAGTCACCCTAGGAGAGGCAGGGCCAAGCTCACAGCAGACCCAGCCTGCCTCCTGGAGCCGGTTCAGCAGGCTCAGAACGCTTGAGTTAACATCTGACCGGCTTAGCAGGGCAACAAGAACATCCAGATGTTCTGTGCCGCTGCTGCACCTCTATCGGATAACGGCGACCCTCTGCAGCCTCACCGCCCCCCCCCCAGCCGCTGCTCTGGACTGGCCCGAGCTTCCCTCCAGCTGAGTGAGGCCCGAGGGCCCAGAGCCTCATTAGCATAATCTATGCGCGGGGGTGCTTAGCCGTCAAATATATGCGCATATATCTCCATGGCTGATGAGGCTGGCCGGGCACTTTCAAAATGGCGGAGTGTGGAGCGGACGGCGGCGGGAGCAGCGGAGACAGCCTGGACAAGAGCATCACGCTGCCCCCCGACGAAATCTTCCGTAACCTGGAGAATGCCAAACGCTTCGCCATTGACATAGGTACCCGCGGGCCGGGCGCCTGAACAGACAGTCGGAGCGGCAAGCGCGGGCAGCGATCGGGGGCGGTGGGAAGGACGAAGGGTGGGGGCGCGGGGCGCGCGCGCCGCCTCACGGGCCGGCGCGCGGCCTCGTGGGAGTTGTAGTCCTCGGGGCGCCCGCCCGCACAGTTTCAGCGGCGGCCGGACTGCAGCTCCCGGTAGGCAGCGCGTGCCGGGCGAGGCATGCCGGTACTCGTAGTCCACATGCCGCCGACCGCGGTCTGGGGTCGGGGTCTGGCCCGCGGCTTTTCCGGTTGCCTGTCAGAATACTCCCTTGAGTTAACTTTTGACAACGGCGAGAGTCCGCCGGACGGGATTTGAGGCCTGGGGACTGGCTTCCGTGGCTTCCTGTGGCCTTAGGGGCCTGCACAGCCGCCCCGGACCCGCGGACCGCCCCTTCTCCCGGCGGAGAGCTGCCGCCCCCTGTTCTGACACGCACGGGCCCGTCCCACACCCGCCACTCTGGGCGCCGCGACCCTACTGGCGAGCCACAAGAGGTGCCGACCTCGGCCCTGGGCAGGTGGAGCCTAAGGAACAGGAAGAGGACTAATTCAGCCAGGGTCGCCCGGGCAGGCACCGGCGCGGCGGGGGCGGAGCCAGCGCCCCCATGCCCTTTGACTTGTGCGGGCGCCCAGGGGAGCCGGCCGCCGCCCGCTGCAGGTGCTTGATGCTGAAACGAGTGCTGTGCTGTGCTTGCAAAGGCTGGGTGCCCCGCAGAGCGGCCTGCTTTGGGGGCACCGAGTGCACCCCCTGCCCTCCTGTTGTATCGTCGCTTGAGGCTCCGTTGGGCTTGGTGGTTCACCACTTTCTGGAGGTACCTCATCCTGCGAGGAGTGACTAGGTGGATGCGTGCCCCGACCAAGCTGCCCTGCAGGGGGCTCCGTCAAGGTGGTCTCTGGGGGAGGTCAGCTGGGGGGCAGTTGAGAGAATGTATGCGAGAAGCATTTGGAGGGACCGTTGGTTGGGGTTGGTGACCCACCAGACCCTCCACAGTCAGCCCTTTCCAGAGGTTCTGGCAGCGGCACCCACAGGCTTCTGAGACCCTCACCCGGGCAGGGGTGTGCACTCCAAAGCTGGATGGCCCTACATTTGGGGGTTCTGTTCAGTAGGGACAAATAACAAACCGGGTCTAAATGTATGCGAGAGTCAACTGAAATTGCACATCCACCTGGGCGGTAGCTGGGGAAGGAGGCTCACCTCCGAGAGTCCTGATGGCTGCTGGCCCAGCAAACGAGCAACTGCAGGGCGGAGCTATGGCCGGAGGGCTGCCCCAGCCCCAGGGTCCTGGAGCACTTTCCTGGCTGCACACTGCAGAGGTATTCTTAACCATGAGTATTTATTTCCTGTCTTGAAAAGCTCCCCCACGTGGGTCCCCTATCTGGACTGAAAAGGACATACTTATTGTTTGTGAGATCAGACCTTGGTTACTGTGGCAAGTAGGCACGCCAGCTTCTGCGGGGTCCTAGGCCTAGGCGGTCACAAGCCAGTGTGCTTGCCCACAGCACCCTTTAAAAACAGGTTTTTCCCATTTCCTTTTCCCTAGCCCAAGTCTCTCAGCATCCAGGAACCCCCAGCTGTTCTCTTCGCTGGTGCTTTTCCCCTTGCTTGGGGACTCTGTGTCAGATGACTGGTTTGCCTCTGGATGTGTGGGGACGTTGTATTTATCAGCACATACTCAGAGCTTGGACCTGACTCCAGGCTTCCGCAGGATGAGGGGAGGCTGGAAGGGCACACAGCGTGGTGTGTGCTGGGCTGATACAGCAGAAGGGAGCAGGAAAGCGCTGGGTTTAGGTGGACAGGAAGCCGTGGCTCAGCCTGAAGGTCAGGCAGGTGACCTCTGGGAAGCCCCCTCCAGTCCTCAGGTTGGCCTGGGCTGGAGAGCCCACCGCCACCCCCAACATCATTTGGAATTGTCTTTCAGTCTGTCGGGCCTCATGCTTGGCTGAGAACTAATTGCAGGGTCCCTGAGCATGGGCAGGGACAGAAGCTTCCGCTGCACTGGGCTCTGAGCTGATTCTGGTCCAGGCTGACCTCCCTGCAAGCTGCGTCCCTCTCTGACCTGTTCTCTTCCCTCTTGGCTGGGGAATTGGAGGCCCCTTTGAGAGGTGTTGGGGGTGAGGCTTTGTGTGGAAGGTGTGTTTCCCAGAAATCTACCTGCCTGCCCCCACTAGTGCCCCATATACCCCAGCATATCCTGTTCGGGGCATGAATTAAAACTAACACCAAAAATATAGGTTCTGAAGCCAGGCATGGTGGCTGGAGGATCGCTGTGAGTGTGAGGCCAGCCTGCGCTACAAAGTGAGCTTAAAGCCAGCCCAAGCTGTGTAGCAAGACCTTGCCTCAAAAAGACAAAAAAAAGCGCCAGGTTCCATGACCTGAGGGTTTGTCACCAACGACTTGATGAGCCCCGTTGCTCTCCCTCCTTCTCTTGCTTCTGTTTCACAAAGCAGTTTATTCACAGAGGTGGATCAAGCCAGCGTTTTAGTGAGACTCTTGGGCCTAGGCCGGGTGGGACAGGGAGGAGGAGCAGAGGCTTAGGACTCTGGGCCACGGAGAGGCTAGGCACCAGACAGTGTCTACTAAACTGAGCACGGCCTGGCCTCGGATGGACACGGCGAGGCCTTGGCAGAGTCGCTGCTCTGGAAGGAGGCAGGCGCAGCAAATGGAAAAGGCGGCTGACTCGGGATAGCCGCAAGTGTTGGCTTTCAGGCGTTGGCGGTACCAGTCCATGTGCTGGCTGGAGTCTTTGCCCTCACATGTTCCCTCCCTGTTTTCTTACAAAGCCACTGTCTGAAGATAGCTCTAGCCTTCCTGCGGTCCGGGGAGACTTCTGCCACGTTCCGTCAGGCACCACGAGAAACGTGATTTGTTGGAATCGCTTTTGTATCGGTCGGGGTTTTCCTTAGAGGAGCAGATATAGCCTAAGGAACAAGTATTAACACAAGACATACAGTGTGTAAGGAATTACAAGATGAGTCAGATGGGGGAGCGTGCAGGGAGCGTCTGCACACCCCAGACGGAAGAATTCAGTCCCGAGGTCTGAAGCTTGCTCCTGTGCTCCCTGCAAGTCTCTGTCCGTCAGCTGATGGGTCTGCGACAGAAGACTGGAGTCTGCAACGTACGCTGAAGAGGCTGCGATGGAAGGTGAAGGATCTAAGCCGGAGGCCACAGTCTGTG